AAATATAAACCATAAACCCATATAAACCCAAAAAACCCGTACAAGCCCAAACCGTTTACAGGGTTTATATGGTTTATTTGGAGTTAGATGTTTGTTCCGATTTAGACGATGTACAGGATTTGAAGGAGTTACAGGTGTTGCATATAGTTTATATACCATGGGGTCTATATCTACATGTATCGTAGTAATATAAGTACACAATCCTACCTTGTGTTAGATTACAACTGTATACAGTTGTAATCTAACACAAGGTAGGATTGTGTACTTATAAATGGAACTTGTGAACCCTAACCCGATGAGGTGCTTCTTCTTATGTGGTCCAGCGACATCGAATTGAAGTACGAGATGATCGAGATCTTTGCCGGTCAAGGCCGGGTATCCAAGCAGTTCCAGGCCGCCAACAAGAATGTTGGCATGTTCGATTCTGACTACGACAGCCGAGCCATGAACATCATGAACAGTGCCGGCCTAGCGCATCCAGGCTGCATGAAACACTCAGGGTCGTGTTACTCTGTTCAAACCAAAACTTTTGGATGGGTCTGTTGTGCAAGGCTTTGCTTCTACATGATATTATGCTGCTCTCCTGGGGCCTTTCTGCTATTGGCCCCTGAATGCAGCAGCTGGACAATGGTCAGCAGGGGCACCACCGAACGTTCCGTAATCAATTGGAGGGGCCGGACGAGCCTTCCATCCGTGGCCAAGGGAAACGGCATGATATCCAGGCAGCCAGCCTGATGTTCATTGTCCATTGTGCATGTGTTCACCCAAGTCACCTTCCCTCCTGCGGTGTGCTAGTCATGCAAACCTAAGGGTGGTGCTATTGCTGTGGCTGGCCTCGGCTTGCAGACTTATATGGCTCGTCGAGCAGCCAAGAAATTCGGAAGAGATGCTGGTTTTGCATAACCGCCTTCAGCTACTCTGCAATGAAGTTCTCTATGCTTCCTGGGTGCAGATACTATATTACTCTAATTTGTAAATACAACCCTATAAAACCACGCTATGCCCCATAGACCCCGAAAAGCCTACACACTGCCCAGGTACTCAAGGCACGATTCTGGATGCTTCTTCTGGGCTCTGAGTCGCCCAAGAGGACGACTATCTGGACGAACGATGAACTCATTGCATCTGCTCTGGCTGTGTCTTTGCTGCTACAATATGAGCTGTCATGTTGTGCTACAGCGATGACACTAATCCCACGATGGGTCCTTCCTTCAGGGTCTCGGCACCTTGACCAAAAGAAAGAAGATCGCCTGCATTTTAGTGCCAAAGAGTCTTGTGTTTCTAAGAGCATGCTTCCTTTGCTGCACAGGTTTTACCCCAGTGGATTCGGGATCAAGCTCAATGCCTTGCACGACAAAGCAAAAAAACGATCTCGCTGCGACCTTCGTCAGAAAGCCTCCGTGCCCTCCGAACAGACAGACCTGGACATCTTCTGCTCTCTCCCTCTCGACGATGCCTGGACCGATGCTGGGATGCCGTCCTTATTTATGTACCTCTGGGAGCACCCTAGCTTGAAGATACCAGACTCCTGGGAGCCGACCATGATTGGTTTCTACAAGGAGATGCAAGCACTCGTACCCTGACATGTTCAGCCTCTTGTGGGATCTGTGCAGTGCACGGCATGCATGCTTGCATATCGATCTAAGCCGAGGTGATTCCACCAGACGTGAACCGCAATCTGCTGGGCCACGAGTCTGAATCTGATTCATCCAAGGCTCGCTCTCGAAAGCCCGATTCGGGATGCACTCGAGTACATCCTTGGTTTCAGGTAAGACTAACCTACAAGCCCCAGATATAGATCCCGACAGGCCTCTACAATCCCCGAGCCCAAGCTTCTCTAGGAACCGTAACTGTGCAGGCTCCGGAAGCGCGACGGCCACAGCCGGATCTCGACGAGCCACTCTTCCCCACGCTGGTAATTTCGGATGACGACGAGGAGGCATGTCCTCAGGTTTAAGAGAGGCAGGCTAGTGAGACAGGGCGACAGATACGGACAGGCCGGGAGAAAACACCAGGAGAGGCGAGAGAGGAGAGAGAGAGAGAGAGAGAGAGAGAGAGAGAGAGAGAGAGAGAGAGAGAGAGAGAGAGAGAGAGAGAGAGAGAGAGAGAGAGAGAGAGAGAGAGAGAGAGAGAGAGAGAGCGAGAGAGAAAAAAGAGTGAAAGAGGGAGACAGAGAATGAAGGAGAGAGAGAGTCGATACTAGATTGGGAGAGCAGTGGAAGCAGAGGGGAAGGTAGGCTTCGCAGGCTTTGCCATCCTCTTGGTGGGGTTTCGGATGCATCCAATATATTGTATCGAGTATGACGACCTGATTGATGATTGGTGATCTACATTGGGGTTAGCGAGAAGTTCAGGTTGTTTTCCTGCTCCCCACCCAGGACCTAACATCAAGTCTGCTGTAGGTCCCAAGCCTCTCACCCTGTATCTGCCCCGAGGACCCTGCATGAAGCTAATAGAAGTATATAGGGAGGTATTTGCTTAACCCCTATATATATATATATATATATATATATATATATATATATATATATATACATATACATACCCAAACCCGAATAAACCTGGAAGGGCAGCCGACTTGTTAGGGGCACGGGGTGTGGATGCTTCTGGGCTTGGTATATTTAGGTGCTTGTAGGAGTGCTTCGGGTTCATGGCTTGGTACGATATGCCGTTTTTGGGACGCTAAAAATCACAAACTAGTCCCATAAGGCTTTATAACCTTTTTGGTAGGTGTCGAAAGTTTTGAAGAAGTTTTTCGAAACCGCTTCATGTGTCATGATATTCCATTTGAACTTTTATGAATCTTTGTTGTTCCGCGCATGCTCAAACATAGGGTGGGTGGGCGGGAACCTTCCGTGCAGCAAAGTTTGTACGGGGGGTAAGAGAGATTTGTGTAGAACACGGGCTCCGGGCCAAGCTGTGTGAAACAGGTTTCGGGCCCGAGAACCCCTGGTGTACCGCCTTAGTGGCGCATGGGCAGCTTCTCGTGCGATGGCAGAGAAGAGGACGTTTGATGCTGCATTCGATGGGCATCTTGCCCATGTCGTGCATCAGAATTCTACGAGCAGCTCAAAGCAACCATGGGAGAGAAGCATTGTTAATGTGCCGAGTGTTTTGCCGAGTGCATTTCTGGGAAAGGGGCGTCTTGGGAATGTGCTTACTCATGCAGCTGCTGCTCCTGTGAAAGCTCCGAGTGGCCCGCCGGCTATAAATCTGACTGCCACTGGCGGCAAGCTGCCACGGAAGGTTGGGCCTTCTTGGGTTCAGAGACAGTCGGATAACAGGCATGCGGCTGTCATGAAGTGGCTTCGGATTGCGAAAGAGGGCGGCGACTTCTTCGGGGTCTGTGCCAGAGTGGCGAAGGATGCTGAAGCTGGACTGCCGGCCTCCCTGCAGGAGTCTCTAGGAGATGTTTTCTCGCTTAAGGCGAGCAGCACGCTTCACAGCAGGGCGGGCCCGGTCCTAAGATACATGGCATTCTGCTGGCGCATCAGAGAACAGCCTTTTCCTCTGTCTGAGCAGAAGATGTATCGCTTCGTCAAAGAGTATTGCAGTGGGGCTGCTCCTACCTTTGCATCCAGCTTTATGAGTTCCGTTGGCTTCATGCAATATGTCTTGGAGGCGAAGGTCCCGGACGGTTGTGTTAGTAGCAGGTTGGCTGGCGCGGTTTCGAAGCTCTACTTGGAGAAGAGAAAGCTGCAACAGAAGCCGCCATTGACGGCTTCACAGGTGCGGGCTCTGGAGCGAATCGTGCTTGGACTTATGCCTGAAGTCCGCACAGATGTCGATCGCTACGCGGCCGGGTGCTTTTTATATTGTGTGTTTGCGAGAGCCCGTTTTTCGGACATGCAGTGTTCTGGCGAGCTGGCGAAGGACGTCGTGCAAGGAGAAGACGGACCGCGCGGTTACCTTGAAGCGAGGGTCACCAGGAGCAAGACGAGTCATAATCTGGAGCGCAAAACCCGATATCTTGCTATGGTCAGCCCTATATGGGGTCTCGAGCAGGATTCTTGGGCGATGGCCTGGATGGAGGTAGCCGGCAGGGCTGGGCCTGCATGGGGACCTGACATGCCCCTGCTACCGTCCCCCACCGAGGGGGGCCAATGGCAGAAGGCGCCTATGTCTGCGCAAGCCGGAGCGCGGTGGCTTCGCCACCTTCTCTATCGTGCAGGCGAGGATGTTTCGTTGGTCAAGGCCGCTGGTACTCACTCCTGCAAAGCTACGCTCTTATCTTGGATGTCTAAGTGGGGAGCTAGTAAGGAAATCCGGTCGATACTCGGATATCACTCCAGTGCCAACGCCGGCACGGATGTTATCTACGCGAGGGACAGCGTCTCCCCTGCGTTGCGTGAGTTGGAGGAAATGGTTTCTGCGGTCGCTTACAGGCGGTTCTTCCCGGACGCCACGCGCTCGGGCATGTTTGCGGATTTGCGGAGTCTTTGGCTGCCAGGGGAGAAGCTCATGACAAGGCCGAGGTCGGCTCAGATTCTTCTTCCGACAGGAGCGATGATGAGGAGGAGCCAGATACTCTCGAGGAGGAGAAGGTCGTTGAGGACAGTGTCGGCGATTTTGAGCCGAGCGGCTGCCTTCGAGAAAATCTGGAGGGCAAGACGGTCTTCTTTCGGCATGTTACCACCCGCTTCATACACTTGGTCGCTTCTGAGGAGGGCACAAATTTTAAGTGTGGCAGACAGATTACATTGTCTTACTTGGAGTGCAACACGACTCCCAGGTTTTTGCATCCAATCTGCAGGCAGTGCTTTCCAGAGGCGAGGTGAGGGATCGATAGGCTGGCTGGCTGGAGTGCCGCCATGCGAATTTTGTGAGCCTCTCATCGCGAGAGCCCGCGAAGGCGGGATGAATATGCGCACGGAATACAAGGAGCGCTGCACTTGGCATTGCGTGGTCTCAACAGTTCGGAGTCGCAAATGCCGCCTTGTGATTTCAAGTGAGAGTCGCTCGAGTTACTTGAAGGTAGGCCAGTTCTGAAGGAGCGAGCCATGGCTTCCGCATACTCGGAGTCCGAGCCAGTTCTGGTGTCCCGTCTCTCGAAGGCGGGTTTTGAGCAGGCTGAGCGCGATCTCATCCTGAAGCACGTTAAGAGCTTGAAGCAGTTGGCCTTCGTGAGCTCCTTTGCTCCGGGGGCTGCGGACGAAGGTCCGTTGATCGAGGCCCTTAAGACGATGCTTGGAAAGGACCCGGAGATGAATCAGAAGGCAGCTTTCAGAGCACTTCGGAGATGCGACAGCAAGTTGAAAGGGTCGAGGAGCCGACAGTTCGTCATTTGAGTCAGCCCGAGAGGGCTGAGAGAATTGAGCGACAGCGTTCACAGTTGACTGGCATCACGATAAAGGGTTCCTCGGAGCCATCAGAGGCCCTGGTCGACCTTTGCGTCGGTCAGTATGAGGCCAATGTGATCCAGTATGTCCCTTGGTCTAAGTGCACGTCGCGGGAACAGGAGCTCCTGGGCGACGGTAAGAAGGACCTGAAGCTTTCGATAGACGGCGAGAGTGGTAAGCTCAAGGTAGAAAACAAGGCCAAGGATCAGGTGGCTGACACGTCCACTGAAGTGATGCTTCTGCAGGCTCTGCAGAGGCGTGCTCTTACATTCGATCAGGCTAACATTGTTTCTTTCACGAAGCTTGACATGTGGCATCAAAAGTTGATGAAGGCGAGGCTGACTGCGCCCCCGCCGAGTTACCAGCAGGTTACCTTCGCTCAGTTGCAAAATGCAGACTCGAGGCTCTTTTTGGAGCTTCAGGACCATACGCGCACAGGCATTCAGTCGGATGCCAAAGGCCGTCCGATCGATGGGATCATAGATTCTGTCAGCTGCATGCATGAGGTGGTTTCGCTGATGCAGCCGCTCCAGGGCGGCCCCTCGTCTTCGTACGGTCCCAGTGAGCCTGCTCGTCTGCGAGAGTCGCCGTACAAAGGTAAGGGCAAGGGCAAAGATGGCAAAGGGAAGAAGCGCTTCGTTGCCATGCCAAGCGAGCTTCGTGGGTGCAATTCGCACACCGCGAAAGGGCACCCGATCTGCTATGCCTTTAACCTGGGGTCATGCCCGAACAAGGTGACCGGCAATAAATGTGAGAAGGGATTGCACATCTGTGCAGTCCCGAAGTGCGGCATGAACCACGCCGCTGTCAAGTGTCCCAAGAAGCCGAAAGATGGCGAGCAGGCGGGCGCTTGACTATCAAGTTCAACCCCGGCCCCGGTGCAAAGGGGTCGGCGGCAGGGTCTGGGGGTGGCGAAGGCCATTCTCGAGCAATCCAGCAAGTGCTTACGGCCCATCCCGAAGGGGATGAGCCTCTTTTGAGTGCGCCCGAAGGGGCCCAAGCAGTGTCATTTGAAGGGCAAGGATCGAAACTCGATCCGAAAGTGCATGCGGACTCTTATGCTGAGGAGCTTCTGTCTTTGGGCAGGGATCCCACGGCCCAGGAGTTAATTCGTTTGTTTGACATGCTGCCTCAGGAGCCGCTTTTGAGCAATACTCGTAACGATGGAGCCGTGGCCTTCTCGACTGGTGCCTATGTGAAGGGGCCGCTGCTCGGTCTCAGGAGCAACTGCAACAAGCATCCGGCGGCTTCGAGGGTTTTCGCTCAGGCAGTGCAACGCGCTGCCCCAGGGATGCAATTTTCTACTCTGAGTGTGTTTTCAGACCTTAAGACGGAGCCTCATGTCGACCGCTTCAACTCTCCTTTCCCGAACATTCTTGTGCCACTCAGCAATTTTCAGAAAGGCGAGGTCTGGGTCGAGTCGGCTCAGGGCGATTTTCCTCTTGAGGTCGATGGTGTTACGAAGCGTGGCATCTTGATCGATGTTGCCTCCGGACCGAAGGCCTTCTATGCTTGCAGCCATGTGCACGCTACACGGCCGTGGAGCGGTCGACGCGTGGTCATAGTTGGGTTTTGCGTTGCTAGGGTCCAGGAGCTTGATGTTGAATGTAGGGCGCGGTTAGCTGAGCTGAGCTTCCCTGTTCCCCAGACGGCGCCCAACTTTAGTCCGGATTTGATCGAAGTCGGGGGAACCTTTCATGACCTCAGAAGTTCTCAAGTGGATGAGGCATGTGATGCCCTCCCGGCTCAACTGCAAGCCGCTTCTTTGATGTGCCTTGACCTCTTTTGCAATGCAGGTGAGTTTGGAGCCTCCTTGAGGGCCGCCGGATTCGATGTGCTCGCGGTTGAACAACCGCACCTAAAGCAGAGAGCTCTGATCAGCGTTGTGTCGTTGGATCTCAGGAAGGCTGCCTCATGGGATTTTCTAGTTAAGGTTGTACTCGCTAGGAGGGTCGTCTTTGTGCTTGCTGCCCCCACTGTGGCCGCTTCTGCGGGCGAACTTCCAGCAGGTTTTGCCCAGGTGTCGTCCGAACTCAGCTCTTTCTTGGCTTTCCTCGCCACTCTTGATATCGGATGGTGCGTCTTGAATCCGCTGACAAGCCGACTGTGGTCGACTTTGGCTCTGCCTGCCTCGCAAGCTGTGAAGTTCGACCTACGTGCCCATGGTGGCGAGCAGCACCGCCAGATGCTGTTGCATACTAACGTCCAGACTTTAAGTGCTCTCGCTGTGTCGGCCGACGACAATCAGGAACCTTCTAGAGCCTTCCAGTCAGTGACTTCACTGCGGGCCCGGCCGCGTTTGTTGTGCAGTCGGCTCGCCGCCCAGGTAGTTGTTTTCCCGGGTTCACTAGGGTTTGCTGTGTCCCCTGATGCAGTCAAGCCATCTGCCAATCATCGATCCTCCATTGCAGTGCAGCGCCAGCCCAAGGTCTCCAAGGTGCCGCCGCTCATGCCCGAATACAAGCATCGGGTTACTTTGCAGGTTCCGTCCATGGACGCTCTACGTTATGATGCGAAAAACTCCTTGACGGCCGCTTTTCAGTCGGTGCCTGTCGGTGCCCGCATCCTTCAGGTGGTGCCTGTGCAAGGGGGCGAGGGTCCTTCAGGTTCGGGCTTTAGGGTTACGTTTGGGGTTTACAGGACCGAGGATGAGTTCGTCAGGACAGCAGTTACTCTATCTCATCCTTTCGACCTGTCTTCTGCAGTGCCGGACGAGATGCTCGAGATTCTTGCGTTCACCCTCACGAAAGGGCCCTTGGCAGTCATGAGGCATCGCTTGGACACCTTGACGAAATGGAAAAAGTGGTCTCAAGAACTTCGTGGAGCCGAGGCCTCCTTGCACGCGAGGCTTCACCCAGATGTCGAGAAGATAGTTGCCCGCAAAAACTTGACCCTCCTGCGGCGTGTGGCCGAGGATTTACAGTGGCCTGATGCCACGATAATCGACGACATCGAGAATGGCTTTGAGCTCGTGGGTGAGGCCAAGCTTACAGGCATCTTTGAGGTGGACCCGAAACCCTCTTCGATGTCCGTTGACGAGTTGCTTGAGCACGCTAAGTTCTTGAAGCCAGCCCTGTGGGGCAAGGTGTCGGGCGATGCGAGCCACCCGGATGATCAGGAGCTCTGGGATCTCACTTGTGCTGAAGCTGACGAGAAAGGTTGGTTGCATGGACCCTACACGTGGGAGCAACTGCAGAACATGTTTGACTCCAAGTGGATACCTGTGCGCAGATTCTCCATCAGACAAAAGAACAAATTGCGGCCCATCGACGACCTGTCCGAGAATGCCGTCAATCAAGCTTGGGCAGTAATGGAGAGGATAGGTTTGCGTGCGCTTGATGAAATCACTTGGGCATGTATGGCTTTGATGAGGACCAGCTTGGGGCGACGCGAGGTTTTCTTCCGGAAGTCCGACGGCTCCGTCTTGTCGGGGCCTTTGCATTCGTATTGGCACCAAGACGCTCGCCGCTGCTCGCCGGTCTTGAAGACTACGGATCTGCGCTCAGCTTATAAACAGTTCGCTATACGGCCGGAACACCATCGGATGTGCGTGGTGACCTTGAAGGATCCGGCGGACGGCTCAACAAAGGGGTTCGTCTGCCGCGTTTTGCCGTTCGGGGCCCTGGCCTCGGTCGGTCAGTTCAACAGGTTTTCGAGGTTGTGGCAAAGGATTCTCTGGGAGCTGAAGCTCGCTGCGGCGAGCTACTTCGACGATTTTCCGTCGGTGGAGGTCAGGGCCCTTGCCGAAAACCATGACTCCTCCGTGAAGGCAGCGTTGCGCCTTTTTGGAGTTGACTGGGCGAGCGACAAGGACCTTCCCTTCTCACCGACGGCCGATGTATTGGGCGTCCGACTGGATGCGACGGATATGGAGGGCGGAGTGCTGAGGGTCAAAAACAAGCCAGAAAGATCCAAGGAAATTGCCTCTTCGATTGATAAGATCCTTGCGGATGGCTGTATTGATCCGAAGCAGATCCCCTCTTTGTTTGGCCGGATACAGTTTTCGGAAAGTCAGTTGATGGGCCGACAGGGGCGCCTGGCTTTGGCTCAGATTCGCTGGCTTTCGAGTGCTCGTCACCGTCATGTTCTATCTTCCCTGGACGCCACTGTCTTCAGAAGCTTGAGGGAGAGGATGCTTGAGGGCAGGCCGCGCGAGATCCAGGTTCTTCCCATTGGCGGCCAGACTCTTGTTTTCACTGACGGTGCATGCGACAAGCTGGGGGACAAGTTTAGCTGCTCAATCGGAGGTGTCATGTATCGGGTGCTTCCAAATGGTTTTCGCGAGACGAGGGCGTTCGGGTGCTACCTGGACGAATCGGTCGTCGAGCAATGGGCGGGACTGGGCAAGAGACACCTGATAGGTCCTACCGAGCTTTTCGCGGTGGTGGCGGCCAGACACGTCTGGAAAGATTTCCTGAATGATCAGAGGGTCGTCTTCTACGTGGATCACAGTGGTGTTTTGTCTGCGATGATCAAAGGGTCTTCCCGCGATGATCTCTGGAGGAGCATCTTGCTTCACTACGAGTGTGCCGACTCGATGGGGCCAGCGATCTCGTGGTTCGCTCGGGTCCCGAGCAAGTCGAACCCTGGCGATGGGCCTTCGCGGTCCGACTGGAGATTCCCTATTTTCGGCGAGTACTTCGAAGATCGGATTGTGTGCTTCATAAGCGGCAGAGTTCTCAAAGTCACGGGGCAAAGAGTGCAGGGGTGAAAGATGCCCCATAACTTTTCCACGAGCCCGGAGGGGCGGTTGGCGAAGTGCCAACATGTGTTGGGATCCCGAGGGGGATCCGGAGCATGCACTTCTTTCCCCGAGAGGCTTTGCCAAACCGAAAGAAAAGAACCTGTTGAGCGTAGTTTGTCCGAGTGCTGCTTTTTCTATGAGACTCGTAAGCTCTCTAACAGGCCTCATTTCCACTTTATATATATATATATGCGATTGAAAGACATATTCGAGTGGACTTAAAGAAAGGCCCGCATGATACATGAAGCCACATTGGTTATAAGCCGTTTTTGGGACGCTAAAAATCACAAACTAGTCCCATAAGGCTTTATAACCTTTTTGGTAGGTTTCGAAAGTTTTGAAGAAGTTTTTCGAAACCGCTTCATGTGTCATGAGATTCCATTTGAACTTTTATGAATCTTTGTTGTTCCGCGCATGCTCAAACATAGGGTGGGTGGGCGGGAACCTTCCGTGCAGCAAAGTTTGTACCCACCACTCCCACCCAAACTTTGCGGGGTGAAAGATGCCCCATAACTTTTCCACGAGCCCGGAGGGGCGGTTGGCGAAGTGCCAACATGTGTTGGGATCCCGAGGGGGATCCGGAGCATGCACTTCTTTCCCCGAGAGGCTTTGCCAAACCGAAAGAAAAGAACCTGTTGAGCGTAGTTTGTCCGAGTGCTGCTTTTTCTATGAGACTCGTAAGCTCTCTAACAGGCCTCATTTCCACTTTATATATATATATGCGATTGAAAGACATATTCGAGTGGACTTAAAGAAAGGCCCGCATGATACATGAAGCCACATTGGTTATAAGTTGGCAATACAGTAAGAAGTCCGGGTCTGGGGAAAAAGACCAAGTGCAGGTTCGTAGTGTGACTAACACTGGGCCATCTGTGTGTGCGCACTTCCCTGCACAGACACATGCATACATGTATATGTATACACTCATTCACAAAGTGAGTCGAACTGTGTTTGTGTACGGCTGCATGCTTACATACACAGAACCACTCATTGCATAGGTTTTGCACGAACGCAAATTAACGGTATGCCCGTGCACGTAGTAAGTTATGCTATCATGAATAACTATGTATAGTATATTCATATATATATATATATGCGACACATGAGGCTTGCCTCTACTAGCTTTATTTTCCTAGGAGAGTTTTGAAAATTATTGCGAAGTTTTCAAAACGCCTTTGCTTTATTTTGAACCACATTTCATGGCATGAATGCATGCTTTGAATCGTCTGAGTTCATCTCTTTTATTTCCCGCGCCGCCTCGAGACAGGGGTGGGATGGGTGGGTAGCTGCTCCCTGGCCAAAGGGACATGCCTGCTTTGCCTTCACCTTACGCCAAAGGTGGGAGCATAGTGTCAATGCCTGTGGGGCCGGCCGTCCCTGCAGGGCCGGTTAAGTCGTCTTCAGGAAAGCTTGAATCACTCAGGCTTGCAGGAGTGAGGGTCCCGAATGCACCGGGGCAGAGCTGGGATCAACAACTCTCCGAAGCAAGGGAGGCGGCTTTGGCAAAGTGGCTTGGGATTCTTGAGAGGTTCCCCGAGGATTTTGGTTTGACTTTGTCGATTCGGTTAGACCGGGAAAATGGACGAGATGCCGACTTGAAGACCTTATTGCAAGATGTGTTTTCTCAGAAGGCGAGCGTCACGATCTCGGGTCGTGCTGGGCCTCTTGCCAGGTACATCAAGCACTGCCGAAGTTGCCAGGTCATTCCTTTCCCTGTCACTGAAGCAGGGATCTATGCTTTCCTACAGGATTATGCATCTCACGAGGCGCCCACTTTCGCCAGGAGTTTCTTGAGCAGCCTTGCTTTTGCAAAGTTCACTGTGAGCTTGAAGGTGAGTGATGAAGTCTTCAGCCCCAGGGTCCCTGGGCTGTCGTCGAAGCTATATCTTGACAAGAGAAAGACTCGACAGAAGCCAGCTCTTAAAGTTGATCATGTGCGCAAGTTGGAAGCCATTGCATCTGGTTCGATCAATCTCGAACCCGCAGATCGGGTCGCTGCCGGCTTCTTTGTTTGGACCCTTTACGCACGAGCGAGGTACTCAGATGCCCAGGCTGCAGGTGCAATGACTTGCGACTTGAGTGATACCCCAGATGGCGTTGTGGGATACCTTGAGGCTGCTGTTGAGCGAAGCAAAACTTCGTTTTCACTTGAAAGAAAGGTCAGGTATTTGCACATGTTCGCTCCCATCCAGGGAATAGGCGAGGTGCCCTGGGGTGTTAAGTGGTTTGAGTTCTATAAAGTGCATGGGCCTCCTTTGGGGACGGGTAAGCCCTTGCTTCCGAGTCCGCTCTCTGGAGGAGGGTGGCAAACGGCGCCGTTGGCGGTGGCAAGTGCCACGAAATGGATGAAGTCACTCTTGATCCGTGCAGGATGCGACAGGTCTTCCGTCGAACCGCTTGGGACGCACAGTCTCAAGGCGACGACCTTGAGTTGGAGCGCCAAATTCGGATTAGCCCGCGAGGTGAGGGCGGCCCTTGGTTATCACGCCAGGGGCCGTGATGGAACCGAGATCATCTATGGGAGAGACAACATGTCTGCTCCTGTGCGCCGGCTGCAAGAGGTCCTGCTCGAAGTGTCACGCGAAAGGTTCATGCCGGATGCCACCAGGTCCGGCTACTTCGTGAAGCGCTTTGGAGAGCCGGAGGGGATGCCCATTCCTCCTGACGAGGTTCTGTCGGATTCTTCTTCCGAGGCCAGCGAGGATGCCGAGGATGTCGATCATGAAGCTGCGGAGGCCGCCGCCGATGAGTTGGGGAGGCAATGGGAGCCCGATGCAGGCTTGCGGGCCGAGCTTGAGGCAGTCCCTTTGTTCAGGAATAAAGACAGCCGTTTCATTCATGCAGTCGTGTCCGAGGAGGGCGACAAGTTCAGATGTGGCAGGAGCATCTCAACCAGGTATGCAAGGCTGTCTTCCGTCCCGCGAATTTTGTTTCCGTTGTGTAGGAGCTGCTGTCCACCTAAGAAGTGATGCCGAGGAGATGCTGTAGAAAAGAAGGGATTTCTGAGTGTCTGGAGCGTGATTCCTGAGCTGAGTGATGCGATAGCTTGAGTGAATGCGAGGGTCGAGAGTGATGTGCACTAGAACAGGGCATCGTTGTTCCGAGGAGTCGGCTCAGTCTTTTAGAGTCTGCGCTAACACTGGTCGGCCGGAGTCCAGCTCACGCATCGCATTGTGTATGCATTAGAACATGCTGACATACTTCATGTGACTTTTAAGCGGATTGCTAGCCGGGTCCTTCTCCTGAAGATGGCGAACTACTCTGAGAGCCAATCGGTTCTGCAGTCACGATTGAGCGTCGTGGGTTTCGCGGAAGGAGATGTCCTGAAAATTCTGCCTGAGGTGGGAAACTTGAGGAGGCTGGCTTTCATTTCTTCTTTCACCCCTGGCCAGACAGACGAGGAGCCTTTGATGCGGGTGTTGAAGGATATCTTGAAACGAGATCTGACAATCGCAGACAAGGCCAATTGGCGTGCGGTGTACAATGAGGCTTATGCCATTGTGACCGCGGAAATGAAGCAGCGGATCGAGAAGGCCGATCCCGAGTCGACTGTCAGGCCATTGTCGCAGCCTGAGAGGTCTGAGCGTTACGAGCGGCAGGCAAAGAAGCTTGTCGGAATTTCGCTAAAGGGGCCTCTGGAGCCTGCCGATGCACTTGTCGACCTTGCTGTGGCCTCCTACGAGGCGAATGAGCTCAGGTACATTCCGTGGGACCGGTGTGTGTCAAAGGAAGCTGAATTGGCTGGCGAGAAGAAGCGAGATGTTAGGTTCACGGTCGAAGAGTCCTCTGGCAAGCTTCGGATTGAGCATAAGCAGCCTGACTTGGTTGCGGATACTTCATCAGAGATTCTTGTTCAGCAGGCCCTCACGAGGAGGTCTCTGGCCATGGATCAGGCGAACCTGATCGATTTCAGGGTCTCCGACCAATGGACTCAGCGCTTGATGAAGGCTCGCATGCAGACGCCTGCGGAGCATTTTGTCAGGCCCACTTGGAAGCAGCTTGAGTCGGCGGATCGGCAGCTGTTTGCCGAGCTTCGTGATAAGACCAGGGCAGGAGTGCAGACCGTCGCATCGGGTCGCCCGTTGGACACACTTCTGCCAGATGCGATGTACATGAACGAAGTGTCATGCTTATTGCAACCTTTTCCGGCCCCTGCCCTAAAGGATGTTCCCCAGAAGCCGGATGCTCCCAAGTGGGAGAGGCCATCTCCTTACACCAAAGGTGGGGGCAAAGGAAAGAAAGGTAAGCAGAGGTTCATGACAAGGTTGCCCGCCGGCTTGGAAGGCTGCAGGTCCCACACTAATCGTGGGGACCCAATCTGCTTTGCCTTCAACCTGGGAGGCTGCTCGACGAAGGGGCAGAAGTGCGAGAAGGGCTTGCACATCTGTGCAGTGCCTAAGTGCGGTGCTCATAACCATGGTGCAGCGCAGTGCCCAAAGCGGGCTCAGGGTGGCTCGTGACTAGCTGGTCTCGAGGGTGCTTCGCAGGCGGCCGGTGCTCCAGAGAGTGTGCATCAGCCGGCAGCGAGGACAGCACAGGTGGATGATCTCCGAGAGGGAGTTCATCGGCCGAGCAATGCATGCGCGGGCGGCTCTCCTCCGAGTGGAGTGGATTGTCGTCCGCAATCAGGTGTTGATCGAGAGGATCATCACGTGCACAACGTTGGCTCTCACAGTGCCATCGCCAGGCCATCACCAGGTGTGGTGGAGGCCGCACGCAGCAGGTCCCCGAAGCCCCGTGACGGGGCGGAGTCACGGAGCCGCACAGCGGGCTCTACACTTGACGAGGGTCATGTGAGTGCCACCGATGTTCTGCGAGTCTTCGATGGTCTTCCTTCGGATGCCTTGAAGAGGGGTGCCGATGCACCTCTCCCAACTTCGAAATCTTATGCCACGGGAGCGTATGTTCTTGGTGGTAATGTGGGCCTGAAGGCCAATGCCTCAGCCAACCCGGAGGCGCTCAAAGTCTTTGCAAGGTTTGTGAGACAGCGTGCACCGGGGTTTAAATTTTCTTCAATACTGTAAATATATTCGAGGATGTTCGCACTGAGCGCCATCGTGATCAGTGGAATGCCAACTTGCATAACTTGGCGATTGCACTGACTGAATTCTCAGGTGGAGCCATCTTTGTGGAGCATGAAAACGGTCGGGATGTATCCGACCTTAATGGTGCCCGAGGCTCTCGCTTGCAGGTTGCAAAGGGCCCTGTCCGATTCAATGCCAGACATAATTGGCACTACACCGAGGCGTGGCAGGGCCGTAGAGTCTTGCTGGTTGCATTCACAATCCGTCATGTCGAATCCCTATGCAAGGGACATCTTGACTTTCTCCGCGAGTGTCATGTTGATGTTCCGGAATGCGCGCCCGAGGGCGCGCGGTTGGCGCCTGCAGAAGTGTGTGCTCGTCAGCCGCCATCCTTGACCTCTACTGCAGCTCAGGAGTCGCTTAGGCCCTTGCCCGCTTCGTTTGTCCCCCCCGTTGGCCCTAAGGAACCTGTGAGCGACCCTGCTAGTCCCTTGAAGCCCGGTTCTGCTCTCTATGTCGAGATAAAGTGTGGGTCCGGGCTGCTGCCGGCTCGGGTGCGGCGGGACGGATTCCAAATCATAGCGCTTGAACATTCTCGCCCCGCTGGGCGAGTGCACACTCACCTTGTCCCTGTGGACATTGAAACTGAGTCGGGTTTCTCCTTTGCGCAGACTGAGACGCCCCTTTTCACGTGCATTTCTTTCCTGCGACCAAGGATTGTTTTAAGGCTACTTTTAGCGCCGGGCAAACCATTCGCCTCGCCAAACTCTTGCTTGCATCTGATTCGCATTGGAGTGTCTTGCATCCCCTGGCGTCAGCCCTGTGGAAACAGCTCGACTTGCCCGACAACCTCCATTGCGTAGACTTCTGTGCAGGTTGCTACGGGGCTCCCTGTCCGGTCAAAATGCGTCTGTGCACAACCCAGGCCGCGCTGGCTGGCATGCCGGTGCCAGCATGTCACCAGATGTCTTGTACACACCCAAATTCCGTGATATGTTTGCTGGCCTCCTGCAGCTGGCGGTTGGCCAGTCTGGCCTCTTACTTGAGCACGCTGTTCCACTGCAGAGTTCGCGGCATTCTGCCGTCGCAGCCGCTGGGCGGCAGCCTCGATTGTCAAAATTCCAGCCGCAGATCGCCGAGTTTAAGTGCCAGGCCACGGTCCGTGAGTTCCCGTGGCCCCTTCCTTCGGATAATAAAGGCAATCTCACATGTGCCGTAGGGTCCATCCCTCCTGGCTCCCGCCTTCTTCGCGTTGTGTGTGATCGGGGGGTCGTCGGTGCGAAACAGGTCGGAAGCCTGTCAGGTGTGCCTTCAGCAGTTACCTTTGGCATTTACCGCACGGAACAAGAGTTTGTGGCTCAGGCATTGCATATCGATCATCCCTTCGACTTGTGCGTGGCAGTCCCAGACTTCATGTTGAGAGCGTTGGCTTTTACCTTGAAAGAGGGCCCGGTTGGTGTGATGAAACACCGTCTGAATTTGCTCCAGCAGTGGACTTCTTGGAAACGCGATTTGGCTGGTGCCGAAGCAAATCTGCATGCTGCCATGGATCCTGGTGTAGCTTCTGTTATGAAGGGCAAGAACATCTTGCTTTTGGAGAAGATTGCATCATCTTTCAGTTGGCCTGACACTGAAGTCTTCGAACACCTCAAGCATGGGTTTCCTTTAGTGGGGGAGTCGAGTCCTTCTGGCATCTTCGATGTGGATAGAAAACCGGCTCTGATGACAAGGGCAGAGCTTGTGCAGCATGCTAAATTCCTTAGGCCTGCGCTGTGGGCGAAGGTGGCGAACGCGGAGGTGGACGATTTGGCTCGGGAAGTGTGGGACTCCACACAGCAAGAGATGCTAGTCAAGGAGTGGCTAACAGGGCCTTACTCGTGGGACGAGCTGCAGGCCCGTCATCCAGAAGGCTGGCTTCCAGTGCGGAGGTTCGGCATTGTGCAACAAGCCAAGACGCGGTCGATAGACGATTTGGCCGAGAACTCTGTAAACTGCGCTTATGCTGTTTCCGATCGGATTTCTTTGAGGGCCCTTGATGAATTGGTCTGGCTTGCGATCACCCTCTTTAAGATCTTCATTGCAAAAGGCGAGGTGAGCATCCCTTTGTCGGACGGTGACCATCTTCGCTTTCCGGTGCATTCTTTCTGGAGGGCCCTGAAGCCCGATGCGCTTCAGCCGAGCTTGAAAACAGTGGACTTGAAAAGTGCTTATAAACAGTTGGCGGTTTCTCCACGAGACCGCTGTCTGAGCATAGTGGCCATCAAGGACCCGGTTTCGGGGCTTGCGTTTGGCTTCGAGAGCCGAACCCTTCTGTTTGGGGCCACCTCGTCGGTGGTTTCATTCAATCGCGTTGCAAGATTGCTCCAAAGGGTTCTGATTGCGTTGCAGGTGCTCGCCTGCAACTACTTCGACGATTACCCGGTGTTAGAGGTCTTGCCGCTTTGTAACAACACGCAGTCGACTGTCAGAGCCGCGTTGGACCTGCTGGGTTTCGCCTGGGCAGAAGATAAGGATCTTCCCTTCAGCCATGAGGCCGAACTTCTAGGCGTTCGGGTTGACCTTGGTAGCTTTGGGGTAGTTAAGATTGGGAATAAGCCCGAACGTGCTACTGCCATCGCTGAGGCGGTGGACTCCGTCTTGAGTGCGGGCCATCTTGATCCGAAGACTCTGCCGTCTTTGTTCGGTCGCCTCCAGTTTGCCGAGGGTCAGCTGCACGGGCGATTGGGCAGATTGGCACTGGCCGACCTTAGGGCGTGCACGATGAGTTCTCAGGCCAAAGCCCTTGATGCCACGGCTGTGCAGGCCCTTTGTAATCTTAGGTCCCGGGTTCTTGGGGGTACCCCTAGGATAGTCCCGGCCTGTGTGGGGTCTCGCCGTTCTGTGATTTTCACAGATGGAGCGTACGAGCCGACGAATGAAACTCACCCCGCCACTGTCGGAGGAGTCTTGTACCATTTCGACAACGGCGCGTGGTGCACTTTCTTCTTTGCATGTGCTATCCCTTTGAGCGTTGTACAGAGCTGGGAGGCTCTCGGGAAAAGGCATTTGATAGGCCCAGTTGACATGTATGCAGTGGTATGTGCGAGAGAAGCGTGGTCGAAGCACTTGAACATGCAGAGGGTGACCATGTATGTGGATCACTCCGGAGTGTTGGCCTCTTTGGTGAAAGGCTCTTCAAAAGACCCTTTGTGGAGGCAACTCTTGCTGATCTTTGAGAGCTTCGACGCTGAGGCGATGCTCCCTTGGTTTAGCCGCGTTCCAAGTGCAAGCAACCCGGCCGATCCTCCTTCGAGAGCTAAGTCAATCTTTCCAGTCAGGGGGCAGGTGTGCAGAGTGTCGCCTCGATGCCCGATCAAAGGCAATGCCACGATTGATCTCCTTCTTAAGTGAATGGGGTGTTCGTTGGCGATCCTCGTGTTCGCCATCGATCGGTGCGGGGATGTCACGACTTCCCCCTTCGGCTTTGCCGGAAGGAAAAAGCGCCACATCTGCTTGAGCAATTTTCTTATTCTTTATATACTTTGATTTTCCCATATAGTTTGGGAATACTGTGATTGGAATCTTACTTTAGAAATAAAGCAAAGCTCCGTGGAAAATAAGCGACACATGAGGCTTGCCTCTACTAGCTTTATTTTCCTAGGAGAGTTTTGAAAATTATTGCGAAGTTTTCAAAACGCCTTTGCTTTATTTTGAACCACATTTCATGGCATGAATGCATGCTTTGAATCGTCTGAGTTCATCTCTTTTATTTCCCGCGCCGCCTCGAGACAGGGGTGGGATGGGTGGGTAGCTGCTCCCTGGCCAAAGGGCCGGAAATTTTTGTCCCTCCCTCCACTCCCGGGGTGTTCGTTGGCGATCCTCGTGTTCGCCATCGATCGGTGTTCGCCATCGATCGGTGCGGGGATGTCACGACTTCCCCCTTCGGCTTTGCCGGAAGGAAAAGCGCCACATCTGCTTGAGCAATTTTCTTATTCTTTATATACTTTGATTTTCCCATATAGTTTGGGAATACTGTGATTGGAATCTTACTTTAGAAATAAAGCAAAGCTCCGTGGAAAATAAATATAATATATATATGTATATATGTATATATAATATATATATAATATATATATATATATATATATATATATATATATATTTCATTATCATCATATTACACACACATATACATATATATATGTATATATATATATATATTGTATAAGCATTGATATATTGTGCTTATATGTGTTCGTAACTGTATCTTTGTTTGTGCATGTTTGTGAGTTCACTATATGTGTATATCTATATCTATATATATATATATGTGTATATGTATGTATGCATGTATATATATATATATATATATATTCGTAATATGTTTGTTTCTAGGGTATATATTATGACACATGAATGGGGCCTCTTTGTGTGCTTAAGTATGTTTATATTCCACGTAAATATACATATATATATATATGTACATATTATGATACGTATACGTACATGTGTGTGTATGTATATATATGCATACACACACATGCAGGCATATACATACGTACATACATACACATATGTATACATATACGTACACAAACATGAATACATATACACACATGCATATATCTATATGTATGTACGTACATATTACATAGACCTACACATCGTCATATATACATGTATGTAATACATGCACACACACACACACACGTTCATGTCCTGCCCCTGCGACCCTCCACACTTCTCCCGCTGCCAGGAATCAACGGGAAGTCGTGCAGCAGAGCCTGCCGAGGCACAAGGTAGCTCCCACAGCAGTGGGAGGCGGGCCGGGATTGTTCTCAAGCTTATCTACAATTCGTTCGGGTGCCTTGAGGGAGAGCTTGAATGCTGAGTGGCAAGGAGCTTCTGAGTTTTGCTGGCTCCTGGATCCTAGTATAAAGAGTCAGAGGGTTCCGGGGCCCAAGGATCCGGAGTCTTGGTGGCTGGTCTAGCTACTCCAAAGGAAAGAAGCCACCCTTCAATCGTGATTGACAGGGTTTTATTTCCAAATTTTGTTTGAAAGGAAAAACGGGAGTTTTTCCTTTTGTTTCCCTCTTCTTTTGCAACACGTGTTTTGAACCAACGATTTCTCACATGCTTGTTGCGACAAACATCATTTCAACATGTTATGATGAAAGCAACTCGCAGCTTTCCGAATCAAGTCGGAAAAATTTTGTGTGAGCCTTGAGATCCTTCTGCTGTGGTGCCGCACACCGTTGCCAGGGTTCCCCCGACGGAATAGTGGCTTGAGGGCTTGCTCTCGCTGCAAGGGGAGTGAGCAGTGGTAGGTGTGGCAGGCCACCCGGTAGACACGTCATTGATCTTTCTACAAGGCCCCAGCCCGGTGCTTCTAGCGAGTGGGGCGGGGCGCTGCATGGAATACGAGGACAGTGAGTCTTCAGATTCTTTGGCAAGTACCTCAGCGAGCTCTCACTTTAGCGATCTCAGTTTTGATTGCGTCTTTGCCTCGGGACCCACGTGCAAAGTTCGAGTGACTGTTGCGCTGTGGAACTTTCTGGATCCTGCGGCCAGAGCTGCTCTCCTGACTTCGAGTGCTGCCACACGCAACGATTTCTTGCAGGAAATCCTCTTCATTGCAATTAGGGCTGGTCTGCAGCCCCTGCCGTGAGAACGGCCTCGCTTCAGGGCCTTGGCTCGTGGGGTTTCTTCGATGGCTGCTGAAGCTTCGGCCTCCGATCTCTGTGATCGTTTCGAGCGGCACCTCCAGCACTTGACTTATGATGTTGTGGCCCCAATCAGCTATCCCTGGGACAAGAATAAGGCTTTGTCTGCCATCTTCTCAGGAAAACCAGGCAGAAGCGTCGACCTCCATAGCGTCAAGGTGCCTAGAGTCGTGCCGCCGCCGGGCACGCAGTACAGGCGGCCAGGTGATTCAGTCGAGCCGCTGCCGACGGCTCTGCCGTGTGCCAAGGTCGTGCCCGTCTTTGAGATTGCGCTTAAGAAGCCCAGGCTACAGGCAGGTGAGAAGGCCGGAGTCGATCGAGAAAATGTGCTACGTCGGTGGCTATGTGTTCTGCACTCACCTGGCGCCTCGAGGTTGGGGGTTCTCATATGGGCGCAAGGCGAGTCCGACCCCTTGGGTGTCGTGGCGCAGGCCTTGGCAGGGAAAGCTACATCGACTCTGCTCAAGCGAGCCCGTTTTTCTGCACGATTCGTCTGCTGGGCCGACAAGCATCATATGAAAGCTTTCCCGATGAGCCTCGAATTTCTTGTGAGCTTCCTCAAACCACTTGCTGCCGAAGCCAGGAACAGTGCCATTCGTGAGGCTATGGAGACTGTGAATTTCCTTGAACATGTTCTAGGAATTGAGATCGAACAAGGAATCGGCGACAACCCTTGGGTCAAGGGAGCGCTGCGAGGAGCCAACATTCGCACCTGTGACCCGAAACGATCGAGAGTCCTGAAGGTCGAGGAGGTGCTTCTCCTCGAAGGAGCGCTGATAGACGGCGCCCTTGACAAGGTGGACAGGTACGCCACTGGAGTCTTCTTGTTCCAGCTTTACTCCAGGGCTCGAGTGTCGGATCTGAGGAACATTTCGAAGCTTGAGCTTGACCTTGATGGCGATACGGGTTTCATCGAAGTCAGAACCTATGAGCACAAGAATTGCCGGCTGAGCAGTGGACCGGGGGCCGTGCTCATTTTGGTTGCGCCGTATCATGGGCTTCACCAGAAGCCCTGGGGTGCCGCTTGGGTAGAGGCAGCGAAGGCCGTTGGCTTCGACTTCGAGAAAGGGCATCGCGGGCCGATGCTCCCCCGCCTGGCTTGCGATTACTCTTGGAGCGGGGACGCCATCGATGCCAACGAGACCACTACATGGATCAGGGCGTTGCTCTCTCGGCTGCAAGCGGCCGAAGAAGATCTTACATTCTCCTCGCATGGATTGAAGGCAACGCCGCTTTCCTGGACATCGAAAGCTGGATACGGTGAGAGGACACAACTTGTCCTGGGACACCATAGCTTAGGTCCAAGTGGGAAAACGCAAGAAGCTTACGCTCGCGAAGTGCAGGCGCAGCCGCTACGAGACCTTGCAGAATGTCTTGGTGCCATCCGGCAGGGGGTGTTCCACCCGGATCGCACAAAGAGCGGGATGATTGCAGATGGTGCGACCATCCGTGGGTCACGCTTCTCTTTGGCACCCATGGGTCGGGCCAATCCTTCGCCATCTCACGAGAGCTTCGAGTGTGCTCCCGAGGTTGAGCTGGCCGAGGATGGAGGCGTAGAGCCTCTTGATGATCAGGACTTGGGTGAACAAGAAGACGTTCACGAGGCCTCGAGCAGCGAGTCCGAGAGTTCTGGTGAGTCCGAGGAAGAGACTCATTATGAAAGTTTTGGAGCAGGCGAGGCGCAGAATGCGATCCCGTCTGTGAACATGGGTCCTGATTGAGACATTTTTCAGAACCCGAAGACCAAGAGCCTTCACTCACGAGCGAAGGGTTCCACTGGCAAGTTGATCTGTGGAAGGTCGCTTGACAATATGAAGCCTTTCAGTGGGAAGGTCTTCAGCAGTAGATGGTTGTGCAAGCAATGCACAGCAGGCCGACCCCTCCGCGACGCAGGGGCCATGGCGAGTTTCATCGCTAAGAAGCAGGGCGCTTCTAAGTGAGAAATGTCGTGTGACGAGCGATGCTTGCGGATCACCACTTCAGTGTTTCGCTGAGCTTCACAGTCATGTCTGATGGTCGAGTGGTCAATTGCGCATCGATCCAGAGCGTGGTTCGGAGACTCGTTCGGGCGAACAAGGGTTTCAGTGGAACCCTTGGTTTACCTCGTGGCTGCCACGGGGTCCGGACGGGCGGACCAAGCTCGGCGATGCGATGATGACCAGCAGTGCGTTGTCCACATGCAAAGCTTGCAATCGCTGTGTGCATGATTGATCCTTTTTGCATGTGCATGTCTCAAGACCAGTTTCTGTGAGGGCACATAGGATCGGAGACCATGGCGCAAACCCTTGTAGAGTCTAAGGCCGTCTTCCTGGAGCGAGCCAAACGTGTGGGCCTCCCACAGGAAGCAGTGGATCGCCTTGTTGCACAGACCATCGACACGATGGCGAAACTAGCGTTCGCCCCTTGCCAGCCTGGGGAGACGCCGACCGAGGAGTCGCTGGCGGCCCTCATCAAGGTGGGTGGTGCAGCCCCGTCGTTGGGATCCATCGCAGCTGTTCGACACCTGGTGTTCGAAGCACAGACCCTCTTGGTCAGCCAGACCAAGGCACTCGTGGAGAACAAGGAGAACGAGGTCAAGGAGTTAGCCCCCGCAGAGCGCCGCGAGCGCATCCGAGCACAGGCCCGCAAACTCACAGGCATCACCATGTCCGGCCAGACTGAGTGCAGCTATGCCTCGTATGACCTCTGCATGAAGCTCCTTACTGACAATTGCATCAGCTATCTTTCCCCGGCCAAGTTCATCACTCGCGAAGCTGAGCTGCGTTCCGAGAAACCGCGGAAGGAGTTGGATGTGCAAGCTTCAACACTGGTCGTGAGAGATCGTGACCCCGATCAGTCATGCGATACTTCCACTGCACTGAGCCTTCACCATGCCATGCACCGTCGAAGCCTTGCTCTTGACTTGATCGGTGTAACTGATTACTTTCGGGTTCAGGGCTTCGTGGATTTCCTCTTGGGCCACCTTCATCAGGAGCCCATTGCTGGTAGCCGTGCCACCTCTGTACAACAAATTCTGCATGCGGACCGTGCTGCCTGGATGCGCCTGGCAGAGCTCACCCCCGACGGGATTCGTCGAGATGCAGCCGGGGCTTTGCCTCTTGACAGTTTGTGGGCCCGCTTGCAGACTGACCCGAAGGTAATTTTTCATCTCCTCCCGCGGGAAGGTGGAGCCCTCAAACGAGAAAACAACGAGATCAAGCCTGACCTCACAGACACCCCGACCAAAAAGCAGCGCAAAGGTACTGGAAAAGGCAAGACCAAGACATTGCGTGAGCCCAGCAATCTCCCAGAAGAACTCAAGGGCCTTTCGTCTTGGACGAAGACCGGAAAGCGCCGCTGCTGGGGATTCAATATGGCTAGTGGGTGCGCTAATGCCAAGGTCGGCCAATCCTGCCCCAGGGGCCTGCACAACTGCATGCGTTGTGGCGGTCACCACCCTGCGCATGCGTGTCCAAAGAAGCCATGAAGTGCATGCCTGCCTGAGCCCGACAGCGTGCCACCATCGTGTTTTCCATCGCCCAGTGTTTCATTGGATGCTTCACTGAGCGCCTCAACCCCGCAAGCATCAGCCGCTGCACCCAGCAAATCACATTGTTTTCCTTCGAGTCCTGCTGAGGCTGTGAGCCCTGTGGAGGGGCCGCTACTTGATGCCGGACACTCTCTTTGCGGCGCTGATGCTTTCAAGATTGATTCCCTCTTTTGCATTGAAATTTTCTCAGGCTCAGGCAGGCTTACTGCTGAACTTCGGCGTGCGGGGTTCCGAGATAGCCTCGGAATCGACCATGTTGCCCCAAAGCAAATGATTTCTCCCGTCCTTAAGCTGGACCTCCTGGATCCCGAACATGTAAAGATGGTTCTTGATCTGATCGATTCTCCCTTTTGCCTTTATGTCCACATCGCTCCCCCTTGTGGAACAGCGAGTCGTGCTCGTGAAATTTTCCGTCGCGGTGAAAGCCTACCTGCTCCCGCAAGAAGTGACGCCCACCCGGATGGGCTGCCAGACCTCACTGACGAGCTCCGCGTTCGCGTTGCTAAGGCCAACGATCTTTATGCCGTCACTGGCAAGATCTTTGCACACTGCATTCGTACTGGGAAGCTCGTTTCTTGTGAGAATCCAGGCCGCTCTTACTTCTGGCAAACGACCATGTGGCTCACTGCCGTTGCCGACCTGCAGTTTGAGGAAACCCTTTTTCATAACTGCCAACGCGGCGCCAGCGTGCCAAGCTCACCCGCCTAGCCCATAATGTTCCTTTGCTACACGAGCTGTCCCTTCTCTGCCCGGGGGAATCAACATCTCATCGCCACTTGCCCTGGTCGCGATCCTCAGGTGCCTTCGACACAGCGGCCGAGAAGGTCTACCCTCGTGTGCTCTGCCAACGTATGGCCGACGTCATTGTCCGTGCTGCCGCCGAACGTGGCCACACTGCACCCGCTTCATGCCTTGCGCCTGGTGCTGCCCTTCCCCTGCGTGAGTCTCAGGTTGCAGCTGGTGTGCAACCTCGCGGCAAGCGTGTGCCACCCCTAGTGCCCGAGTTTCGGCAGATTGTGGTTCTTTTTAGTCCCGAACCCCTCTTTCCCGGCGTGCGTAAGCTGGAAGCCGATACCCCGCTTCCACCTTGTGTCTCATGCTCGCCCCCGCTGCCGACGCTTCCCGCGGGCACTCGGATCCTGCGCCAGAGTGTCATTGGGGTTGTGCCAGCTGGAGCGCAGAGATCGTGCTCGAGTGACTCAGCCGCCTTGTCCACACCTGTGCCGAATCCCACAGTTGTCCCGAATGCCGAGGCGGAGGACGATGGAAACTTAGCCACCATGGAGGACGACTAGATGGACCCCGAAGCTTTCTCGCATTATGCTGTCCACTTGGGAGTGTCAGCCAGCGACGAAGCATGGCGTGACTGCATTTGCCACTTGTGTGATTTACTTGTCTCGGATCCACCGTCTAGGGGCGGACGAGGCACTGACGAATTCTCTTGGTCGTGCGGAGCTTTCTTTCATGCCAACAAGGTGGGCCTGCGTTCCAATACATCATCGCACCCCAGTGTGAGCAAACTCTTGTGCGAGTATGTACGCCGGGTTGCCCCGGGCCACCCTTTCACCTCCTTGATGCTGGGCAAGAACCTCGCAGGCAAGGTGCATGCCGATAGAAACAATGAGCCAGGACTGCCGAATGCAGTTTTGAAGATTTCCTCCTTCGAGCAAGGGGGAGTGTGGATCGAATCACCTCGCGGCTCCGTCGCTTGTCCTGATCCTGGCCACCCCGAGCTTTTGGGAAATGTTCTTGACTTTGAGGGCCGAAGGATAATCTTTGATCCGAGTGGTAGACATTGTCAAGCTCCATGGTGTGGGGGCCCAAGGATCACGCTTGTTGCCTATACGATACGTGATCACCACAAACTTCTTGACGATCAGAAGACACGACTTGTTGACCTTGGTTTCAGCCTCCCTGGGTGCTCCCCAAAGTGCTGCCCAACAGCCGGTCCCGTGGCAGCCACCCGTAAGTCTAGTTTAGGCCCCAGCTCCTCGACTAGGCCACCACCTGGGATTCCGTCCCGCAGCATGCCAGAAGGTGACCGAATGCACAAGGTGGCCGTGGGCATCCCTTGGAAACCTCAGGAGTTCATCGAGCAAGCACTGAAAGCTGGGCACCCCCGTCACCTCATGGACGGTGTGCCATCGCATTCCAAGACGGCCATCGACCGCCTTGCTGACATGTCGCTCCACGAGATAGGAGCCCAACGCACCGAGAGGCTCCGGCATTGGATCAGCAAGGCCCGTGAGTTGGAAGCCGAGGAAGAGGAGCTGCGTGACTCGATGCCTCAACATTGCAAACGTGTCCTGGGTCGGAAGCGGCTGGCCCTTTTTAGGACCATGCTCGAGGAGTGTGGCCACGAAGACCTAGAGATAGCGAATGACATCGCCAAGGGTTTTGACCTCAGTGGTGCGATCCCGAGGAATCCAGCATACCGCCCCAAGTTGTCACCCGCTTCGTTATCTGTCTCAGACCTCCGGAGCTCCGCGGCTGTGATGAGAGAAGCAACTCTTCTCGCCACCAAAAGTTCCGGGGACGCAGAGCTTGATGAGGCCCTCATGGCGGCCACTGACAAGGAGGTCGCCAAGGGGTGGTTGCGAGGACCTATCGATCCTGCGTCGCTAGGTCCCAATGCTGTTCTCTCGCGCCGCTTCGGCGTTTGGCAGGGCGGCAAGTGTAGACCTATAGATGACTTCAAGGCCTCTGGGGTTAACTCGACGACTTCAGCCGAAGACTCGGTGACTGTGCACACGGCGGATGCAATCGCCGCTTCCATTGCTTACCGTCTTAAGCGCGACCCAAAGTGCCGACGACACGGCGGGCTTGAGATGAAATCTTATGACCTACACAAGGCGTATAAGAATCTTCCCTTGAGCACTTCGGCGGTGGAAGAAGCTTATCTCTCAGTGTACAACCCCCGGTCAGGGAAGGCAGAGATCTACGAGCAGTGCGTGTTGCCCTTCGGCGCTCGTGCGTCGGTCCACTCGTTCTGCAGAACTTCGCTTGGCATCTGGACGATTGGGGCGATTCAGCTGGCTTTGATGTGGTCGGTATATTACGACGACTTTGTCGGCAATGAAGTCCCGCCACTTACACGGCTCTTTGACCTTTGCGCTGAATCGCTCTTTCAGATCCTTGGCTGGGACACGTCTCCAGACAAGCCTACCATCTTCGGAAGCGTGGCAAAAGTCTTAGGCCTGGAGTTTGACTTGCGTGAATCCTACCTCGGCAACTTCTACATGAGAAACACGACGGCTCGGCGCGAGGAGCTGAGGGAGAGTCTTTCTTCTGTCATCGAAAAAAGGGACGCTGGCTAGGAAAGACTGCGAGAAGCTGAGGGGCCGCCTACAATTCGCCGCCAATCAGGTTGCTGGGAAGAAAGCTGGCATCGCATTCAAGATCTTGTCCAAACATCTTACGGAACGAAGCCCTAGCATCGGTGACAACTTGAGGGCTGCATTACTGTTCCTAAGGGACAGATTTCTTGAAGGCCCCCCGAGGGCTCTGAGTGCCAACGTCTTGCATCTTTGGCATGTGTAAGTGGATGCTTCTTGTGACAACGATCGCATCGGTCTTGGAGGAGTTCTTATCTCAGACAATGGGACGAAAGTTGGGCACTTTAGCGAGTGGGCCTCTGATGAGCTACGACTCCTCGTTGGTCCCGAAAGCAAGAACCCCATCTTCGAATGCGAGTGTTTGGCGGTACTTATGTGCATGCACGTTTGGAGAGGACTCCTTAAAGGATGCAACACTGTCGTTTTCTCGGACAACGAAGGCACTCGTGCCTGCATGATCAAAGGAGCCTCCGACAACTCCGTCGGGATGCGTATCGTGGATGCCACTCATGATGCCATCGACGCAGCATGTTGCATACCTTGGTTCGAAAGAGTCAATACCGCGTCGAACATAGCAGACGACCCATCGCGAGGAATCACAGATGAAAGCCTTGGTCGGCGATTCGAAGTGGATGCGCTGAGCATCGCAAAGTCTGCATTGGTTCCGTGGGGATGAGTCAATTGCTGACTATCCGATGTGTGCATTGCGAATGCACCGTGCATGATGTACTGCTGTACATCTTGCAGAGCATCGTGGATGCTCGGTGGAGGGACCATCTCACTATGGTGTTTGCTCTGGAGCCCGGGTCAGGGCCCAGCCGACGGGGTTCGGCCTAGGTTCAGCCTCAACCATCAGATTTGATCGATTTGGAACATTGATTTCTGAAACGTGTGAAATCGAGGTTTTGAGTCCCTTAGATTTTTCTCAAGTCAAATCTACCGACGGGGCCCCTCCCCTGGCCTTCCCCCACCGTGCATACTCTGCATTTTTGGCTCACACAGCTTGTGTGACGTCCCAAATTCAAAAGTGAAGCAAGACAGTACTAAGTGTCCACGTGCTTAAATTGGTAATCTTGGGGAATTCTGGGAAGCTGACTGTAACCCTCTCAGAACAATCAGAACCATACTGCGACGACCACATGATGCACATGCGTTGTACAAAAGTCAGCTTAGGGATAGAGCAGCTCATGGAAAGTAACGTTGCGTAGGGATCGAGCAGCTCACAGCTCATGGAAAGTAACGTTTTCAGTTTGCCGGAAAGTTTTGACACCGGCGACGGTGGCCTTGGCCGCCACGGTTCGAGGGCTGCCAGAAACAAGCTGCCCCAATGGCTGGTGCTGTATACAGTGCTTGTGAAGGAACGTGAGCATGCTGAGATCACACATCTGTGCCGTGCCACAGATGTGTTTGAGAATTGGAGCAATGCGACCCCAGCAGAGCTTCATGAAATCCAGCTTTGGAGCGGCTACGGCCAAAGACAGAGGAAGCGTGACCGTGATAGGCAAGCTCAGAAAGAGTTTTTTTGTTTCGTGCTGGATCGTTGCTTTCTGCTCCGGTCGCCGGTGCGATTGAAACGGGAGCAGTTTCAAGGCAGGCAGTTGCAGCGTGTGTCTCGTCCGACCTATGAGGTGTACAAGCTTTTGAGTGAAGAGCCAGGGCAACACTTGATGGCTTGTCCTTCTGGGGGAGATTTGCTCCCAGAGTTGAAGCGGGAGAAAGGGTGGTTGGTGCAGGTCCCACGGGGCCTGGCCGTTCTGTCTCAGACACAGGCAGTGGCCACACCACTGAATCTGTGGATGCCGGGGAGCATGATGGCAGGCTTGCACGTTCAGGTATCCCGTACCCCCTCAGCTCAGCCTCAGGCGGCTCAGGAACTGGAACCGGCAGAGGCAGAGGCGGCAGAGGCAGAGGGGTCAGCAGACGGTGCTGAAGAAGTTCCGGAAGAACGTGCTAAAGCAGCACGTGGAGTCGCTGGAGCTAAGGCCAGATGGAACAAAAGCATTGTGCGTTTGAGCTCCATGCAGGAGATACAAATCGTCAGGTTAAACTTCGCCATGCAGAATGCCAAGGACATTCCTGTCGTTGTGAGCTGCGTGGCCCGTTTCCTGGAGCCGAAGCTAGGGCCCTTCGACCCTGAAGCTCTTCAGCAGATGCTTGAGTCTGTGCCTGGTAAGTACAAACTCCACACCCAAATGCTTCGCCTGGATTGGCTTCACATGCACCACAGAAGATGTCTGATGGCAGAGCAAGCCCTCTGTTCTCACACGTCTGTCAGCAGATTCTTGAGCATGGATGCCAGCCCCCAAGGGGGGTACGAATACTTGGCAATGACAGAGGAAGTTCTTGTGAGAAAGTTGCCGTTCATGCCACCGGCAGACCCATTTAAAGGTTTCTCACACGAATTTAGGTTAATGCCTGTCATGACTTTGGCCAGAGGAGAGGCCAGGACATTTGTCAAGGCCCAAAGGTTGAAGTCTGCAATAATCCTGGAGGCTGGAGAGCCTCATTTCCAGCTTTACAGGAAACAAGTGAAGGGCTGGGTTTCAGATCAAGGAACGGAGCGATTGATACCGGAATGGCCCATAGGCGACGAGGCTGCCATGAAATCCTTAGCAGCATCCTTGAAGGAGGAGGCCACCCTAGAAAACCTGGCTGCTGGCACAAGTGAAGCCTTCCTTTTCAACAGCCTGAAGCATCCAGGGATCCTCCACGTGCTCTTCAATTCACTTGAAGAGTGCTGCAAAGGGTGCCCAAGGTGGGATGCAGTCGAAAAGCAGGTGTCTGCCGTCTCGAAGCTTTTGACGAACAGAAGCTATAAGGAGATCGTGGTTTCAGTCATGCTGAAGCATGCCAGCGGAGAGCACAGGCGGATTGTTCAACGATACCATGGTGAACTGCTGTCCTGGCGGTGGGAGAGTCTCCATGTAACGTTGAAGAACTACTTGGAGGTCAGGCCGATTCTGTTGGAGCATTGGGATCGTTCTCTTTGTCCGATGCTGCTTTGTGCGACATGGTCGATGCTGCTCTGAAAGATCCTTTCCATCTTGCATATGTGCATTGGGCCTTCATGTTTGCTTGCTTTGTCCAAGGTTGGGCACATTGGTTTGAGGGTTGTTTTTGCCACGAGAAGGAACTGCTGGAGAACAAGTCCTCTCGGACTCGGACCACGATCAAGTGCCCGTGGAAAGGCAAACGATCTTGTGTGCTCTGTGCAGGCTACAGGGATGAGATCACCAACTCGGTCTATCGTTTGGCTAGCGCCTCGCTCACAGAGGTGCTCCTGGAGCTTCCAGACGAGGTGGGTGCTGCAATGGCCTTGATGGACCAGAAAGCCCGTGACAAATGGGCTTCCATTGTCAAGGGAAAACTGGACTATCTAGGTCATGTTCCTCATCTGCTTGCGGCCGGGTTTGCCCATCATGCAAGACCAGACCTGTATTCTTTGCAACAATCCAAAGATGCTGTTCGAGAGTGTTTCACTCAGTACGAGTCTCTCCGGGGGCAGGGTCGAACCACGGAACTGCTTGAGAGTTTGTTTCACAGAAAAGGAGATGCAGGATTGGCTGAGCAGTTATGGAGCTTTTGCGAAAGCCCCGCGGACAAGGTGCTGGAGGACTTTCCCCTGGCATTTGCTGAAATCCAAGATCGCTCGTTCTGCCCCATGGCGGAACGAAGCACAGAGCGACAGCACGTGCTGATCAAAATAGCTTGCCGGAGGACACTTCGACATGCTGGGCCAGCAATGACATGTGCACGGGCCCGCAGGAGCCAGCTGCAGAGTATGATCGACACTCCTAAGGAGTGTAGTTTCTTGGAAGCCAACTGGGGTTCCAAAGGGCTGGACCTGGAACTGCTTTCGCACATCATGCCCAAGGCCGAATGCATGACCAAGACCCGCAGCTACCGAGTTGCTCGCATCTACGGCTATCACGAAGAAGACCATTTTCTCGACCACCAGGCTGATGAAGAAGCAGCTGCGAAAGCCTTGCAGGATAGAACACAGCTGGCACTCCAGGATGCGGCTGAGGACGATGCATCAGGAGTCAAGACTTTGGAGAAAAAACAGTGGATGATAGTAGACTACCTGAAGTCCCAATTGCAGAGTGGCATCTTGTTCAGCTTGCCTGAAGGCCTTTTCCGGGCCATGTTGGCAGGGCCCCCCTCAGAGGACTCTGAGGCTGTGCATCCAGAGATATGTTTGGATTTGGAAAGTTTTGCTGAGGCTTTGCTGCCCGAGGACAATCCAGACGTATCTGCCGAGGACTTGATCTACGGCTATGTGGTGGATGCGAGGCCTGAGAGAAGAACACAGAACAAGGCCCTGGCTCAAGAAAGCCACAAGGGTTTTGTGCATGTGCTCCGCTTCACTGCTGTTGATCTGCAACAGCCGGCCGTGCCTCATGTGTTGTACAGCAACACAATGCAACACACGTTGGATTTCGCAAAGGTAGCAACTCCGGCCATGCTGAAGTTGTTGTCCTCGGAACTGCGTGTTTGGACGGCAAAGGCAACTTCGGTTAAAGTGCAGATCATGCCCCAGGCAGGGTCTTCAGATGCCCTTGTGCACGACGGCCCTTCTGCGGCGCTCAGATTGCCTGCCTTCGTCACAGACGATGACATGCTGGATGATCTGGCACGTGAGGATGGAGTTGTGTCGCTTCAGCATGCAGCAGCAGGGCCGCAAGCCGAAGCTGGCATTCTCCCAGACAACCAGCAATCCTTGTTGCAGGGTCTTCTTGAAAGGCGTGCACTGGGTGAAAACTTTGTTGATGTCATTCAGCTTCCGCATTACAATGCGGATGCATGCAGGAGCCTTGTAGACAAGGGACTTGTCCAGGCTCGCGTGGACGATTTTGGAGCAGTCACTGTAGCATTGAGCGAGGCCACCAAGGTCACCAGTCGCTTGGCTCTCCGAGACCCAACACCGCTTTGCCAAGAAGAGACGGTCATGAACAATGGCCCCGGCAGGAATAAACTTGCGTGGTTGAAGATGCTGTTGCAGGATGGATGGAAAGCTGCTGCGACCGGTGATTGGCACAACCGAGGGCAGGCCCTGAACTTGCCCTCAGGTCTCTTGGACAGGCCAGAAATGCACTTGAAAGCCTTGTGTTTTCATGTCAGCCTGTGGGAAAAGGGCTTGCTCAAGATCTCCCACTCAGGCAGTGTTGCCTATTATGAGATGCTTCTGAAAGAAACTACTCTCTCTGCTGTGAATGACTTCAGTTTAAAGCAATGCAAGGAGTTTGCTTTCGAGAGAAAGCGGAAAAGGCCAGCACACGGACAGAGTGCTGCGAGACCCGAGCAGGGCATCTTGCGGCTTTCTTTGGACCTGCCCAGTCTGCCTGCCGTTCCGTGCCGTGTTCCGGGAATGGCGGACTTGACAGTCCACTTTGATAACTGGAGTCATTCATCCGGTCATAGACGAGGATTCATACAATGCACACGGCATGCGAAGTGCCGGCGATACAGCTTCCTCAAGAGCCATTGTGACCAGGCCACTTGTGTGGCCTGGCTTCTGGTTTGGTGCCAAGAGGGACACAGATTCGAGGACACCCGCCAGCATGTTGCATTCAACCCAGACCCCGCTTCTGTGTCCCGAATGAAAGAGAGGCAGCGGCTGGGTGCGTGAACCAATTCGCATGATGAAGGAATTTTTTCTACTTTGTGCAGATCGTTGCAGCATGTTGCAGCAGCTTGTCGTTATATGTTGCACAAAAAGTTGATGGACAGTTGCATGCCCGTAATGTGATGTTCGATTCTGATTTCTGAGCACAGCAGATGAACGATCGATTTCAGTTTTCATGTCTTGCCTGCACAGCACATCAGCATGTCAGTGAGAGTTGTTTGGCAGAGCAGTGCTTGATGGTTCTGTTGCCGCTGTTGCCGTTTCCGCAGCTTTTTTGGAGCCTCCATGCTGCAGCTGTTCCTGCGTGGAGGCGGGGCCGCTGTGGGACCTTTACTGTAAAGAGGGTTAGGGCGGGAGTTTTGGATGTTTTTTCCAGGGTAGAGAAAGCAGCTCGTGCAGCCAGACGTGGCGGCGAGCAAGCAAGTTCAAGCAGGGCTCGTGCAGCCAACGTGGCGGCGAGCAAGAAGAAAGGCTCGTGCAGCCCCGACGGGGCGGCGAGCAAGAAGAAAGGCTCGTGCAGCCCCGACGGGGCGGCGAGCAAGAAGAAAGGCTCGTGCAGCCCCGACGGGGCGGCGAGCAAGAAGAAAGGCTCGTGCAGCCCGACGTGGCGGCGAGCAAGAAGAGAGGCTCGTGCAGCCCAACGTGGCGGCGAGCAAGAAATACTCATGCAGTCGGTGCCTTGGTGCTGTCGGAGGGCCGGAGTCTTTCTCGACTTGCAGGCCCCGACGGTACTTAAGGCATGCAGGCGGTGAGTCCAGGAAAGGGCTGAGGGATGAGGGTGAGGGATGGGGTGTTGGGGTATGTTAGGATTGACAGTTTTGTTTTTGAGTGCCTTGCCGCCAGGCCGATTGAAGCCGATGCCGGAGCCGAAGCAGGGCCCCAAGCCGCGAGAAGAGAGCTCGGATTCAGAAAAGGACAAGCCTGCGGGCAAGTCCAATTCCTCGGACAAGTCCGAGGAGAAATCCGAGGAAAAGTCCGAGGACAAGTCCGAGGAGAAATCCGAGGAAAAGTCCGAGGAAAAGTCCGGGAGCGGCAGCGAGGAGAAGAGCGATGGCTCGGCAGACTATGGGAAATCCAAGAGCAAGTCGCACTCCCGGGGCCGGAGCCGCAGCCGACGGGCAAAGAAAGAGAAGAAAGATAAAAAAGAGAAAGATAAAAAGGAGAAGAGGAAGACTTCCCCTTTTGATGCCCTGCTGAAGCAGGGCGGCCATGATGAGGGCACCGGCCTCACCGGCACCGGGGCCGGGGATGATGACGAAGAGGAGAAGAAGACATGGGGGCCCTATGGGGCGGTCCCTGCTTTCAAGATCGCCGAGTTGGAGACGGTGAAGCAGGCAGGATATACGAAGCAAGGACAATGGGTGGAGGAGAAGGTGCGGTGCCCAATATGTTGGGCAATCAAGCCAAGAAGCACGCTGTTCATGCACATAACATCGAACAGCGGCTGCATGTCATGGCAGCAAAAGCTGCGGGGATTGGAACCCCCGCCAGCAAAGTTCCCTTGCCGCTTCTGCGGCAAGGCGTTCTTTAAGGCGCCGGACCGGGAGCAGCACGAGTATGGGTGCGGCGCCAAAAAGCCGGCAGAGCCCGGTGAGCCTCCGCAGGAGCCAAAGGAGCGGAAAAACAAGAAGAAAGAGAAGAAGAAGGATCACCGGGACAAGAATGATGAAAAGGAAAGGGCACGGCCATGCTCCTGGTCCGAGGTGTCGAGGCGAGGCGGGCTATCGAGGCGAAGCGTCCGAAGCGAGGCCTCCAGGCCAAGCAATGCCTCGGTAGCCTCGCCGCCGAGATCGAGGGGAAGCTCGCGCGAGCGACGGAGCCGGGGCGCTGTGGTGATAGTGCCCCGCCGTGGCCGGGATGTCATCGATGTCCCGTCTGTCTCCGTGCAGAGGCAGCGGTTGGACTCCCGCAGCCGAGGCCGGGGCCGCAGCAGATCCAAGCACTCCCGGCGCCGCCAGGAGAGTCGCCAGAGACAGAGTCGGCAGGGCCAGAGCCACCAGAGCGAGGGGGGCGAATCCTCAGATCAGAGGGTGGTGGCGTTCAACCGACTTCTGTCTTTGGGCGAGAGGATCCTCTGAAGGGCCCCTGAAGGGCAAGCGGCAAGCACAGGGTGTGCCTGCAGCCAGGTTTTAGATGTTGTATGTATGTGTTGTGTGCACACAGATATCCATACCTAATATGTTAGGAAATAAGTAGGGTGTTTTTCCGAGCTGCAGGGCACCGATGCTGTTAGGCCCTTCGTTTCACACAGAATGGGCAGGCACAGGGAGAACTATAGTATCTAAGGGGTTACAATATGTCACAATAGGTTTTATAGCACGATAGGTCTCAGAAGCAGTGTGTAGATGTGCCAAGCCGACACTACAGTTGCAAACTTCACCGTGCCGGACCGCACGATGCAAAAAACAGGGCATAGCAGTGCAAACCGTTGTGTATCACAGTCGAAAGCAGGGCTTCAAGGATTTTTTGTGGTATCGCGAGGGTTTGGGGTGGAGGTTCGACAACCCACTGGATTCCAGGCTTAAGTAGGGGAGGGGTTGTGTCCCTCCCATGTCCCTCCCGTGTCCCTCCGGTGTCCCTCCCGACCCGCCGGGTCGGACCGGCCGCAGCCCCGGTTTCCTGTGGCAGTCCAGGTCCCGCCACCGTCCCGCCACCGTCCCGCCCCTGTCCCGCCCCTGTCCCGCCACTGTCCCGCCACTGTCCCGCCACTGTCCCGCCACTGTCCCGCCACTGTCCCGCCACTGTCCCGCCACTGTCCCGCCGGTGTCCCGCCACTGTCCCGCCGGTGTCCCGCCACTGTCCCGCCGCTGTCCCGCCGCTGTCCCGCCGCTGTCCCGCCGCTGTCCCGCCGCCACTGTCCCGCCACTGTCCCGCCTCTGTCCCGCCGCTGTCCCGCCGCTGTCCCGCCGCTGTCCCGCCGCTGTCCCGCCGCTGTCCCGCCGCTGTCCCGCCGCTGTCCCGCCACTGTCCCGCCACTGTCCCGCCACTGTCCCGCCACTGTCCCGCCAATGTCCCGCCACTGTCCCGCCACTGTCCCGCCACTGCCCGCCACCCCGGCACTGTTCCGCCGGTGTCCCGCCACTGCCCGCCACCCCGCCACTGTTCCGCCGGTGTCCTGCCACTGTCCCGCGACTGTCCCGCCACTGTCCCGCCACTGTCCTGCCTTTTCAAGACTGTTTCCAGGTTCTTTTGCTGCTTGTTTGGCTCGCGAGGGTTGAACCAGTATCTAAAGTCTTCACACACAACACACACAGTTGTCACACATAGCATGCTGTTTGCTCTATGCTTGCAAATGCGAAGCTGCGAAGCTTCTGTATGCACGGAACAACACAACTTTTGAACTCCGAGTCTTCAGGCACGAATCATGCATAGTCATGCAGTGAGAGAGTCATGCAGCTGCTCTTAGCGGTCTGTTGCACACCATCAGGCATGCAAGAGAAAAAAGAAACACACGTCAGCTCACCTTTCATTGCTTCCACCATTTCCACCACCAGATTTGCTCCCCGCCATCTTGAATGCTGAGTTTCCAGCACCACCGCCACCTGGCCTGATGGCTAGGTGGCGGTGTGCGGGATCTTTCGTGCCGGCCGGCCTCACCACTTGCTGTTCCTTTGACGGAGGCAACCGTGCGGGTCTCCTCCTCTCTTTCGACCCTTTGAACCGCACGGCTACTCTGTGGCGAAGCACCCCGCTTCCTTTTGTCTGACATGCTGACTGCTAGCAGAAGGTTGATGCTTGAACACACATTCTGCGGATCAGTTTCAACCTTTGTGTTTGCAGCTTGGCAAGAAGGTGCATTCCCGTCAAGATTTGTCTCACAGTGGCTTGTTAGCTAACTAGTTAGAAAGGGAACCGTCCCCTTTGGAAAGAAGGACCGGTGGGCACCGGCCTGCCGGCCAATGGCCGACGATCATCTGGACACAGAGATCGCCGGCTACAGGGCCGGACGAGTGCTGCGGGTTCTTGGCCGCCCTTTGAGGGTGACTGAGCCTTGTGTTGGACTGGGAGGGCTACGACGGTTGTGTGAGCTGTCAGGAAGCCAGTACCTGTCCACACAGGGCTTTGACACGGAAGCTTCCTTGCTTCCCTACTACAATAACTTGCAGAGGTTTTGTGGTGCTAGCGGTGTCCAAGCCTTGAGATTGGGCACTGACGGCGATGTGGAGAAAGTTAATCCGGAGAGCTTGTTGCCCGTGGAAGCCATTGTGGCTGGCCCCCCGTGCCAGCCATGGGCAGGAACCGGACAGCAGCAGGGCACAGCTGATGCAAGAGCTTCGGTCATGGATGTCTGCATCGGCTGGATCATAGCTCAGGCTTGGCAGGGTCAGCTGCTAGCCTTCGCTGTGGAAAACAGCCCCCGGCTGCGTGGAACTCCATATCTGCGGGAGCTGCTGCAGCGACTGCGGGCGTGCATCCCCATGTTTGCTGTCTCCGTGGAAGTGCATGACCTGTGTCAGCTTTGCCCGCAGCACCGGGAGCGTTTGTGGATCCGGGGCTTGAGGAGGGATTGCCTCCGAGGCTTGCCTGGCCTGCCGCCGCCTTTGAGCATGAAAGACCTCGGTGGCAAGGTGAAGGTGCCTTTGGAGACCGTGTTGGTCGAAAAACATGGCGATGGAAAGGTGCTTAAACCAACGGACCCAGGATCACTCTCCCCAAACATGCAGTGCAACTTGGCGGCCTATTTGACTCGTGTGCAGGGAGACATAGAAAATGGGAAAGCAGGCGAGATAGCCGTGATCGAGCTGGACCGCAATCCTTTGAAGGATTTCGGCGGCGGTATAGTCTACGACGGCACCCCGCCTCTGCGAACAAAAGGGCCGAAGCTGTGGCTGCTTCGGACACAAGATGTCAAGGAGAAGCGCCCTTGGCAAGAGCACAGCTTGCATAGGTACATGCTACAGGAGGAAAAAGCTATGCTCCAGGGGCACGAACCCCGAACCCCGTGGCTCTTCAGCAGCCAGACCCAAGCAGAGAAAGCAATCGGTAATGCTTACCACCCTTTG